TCCTTTACCGCCACACCGCTCCACGGGGTACCCCCCCAACCGCCGCAGACCCCACCACTAAGCCAGAGACCCAGGGGGGAGGTTGGTGCAGGGGAAAGTGGGGGCACAGGAACCCCCAATTCCACAACGGACAGGAGGAACAAATGTTAGCCAGGCAAGCCATGCGCGCTCTCTGAACGCTAAGCGTCCGCTGAACTCCCCGGGAGAGGGAACGGTTTTAGGGAAAATGGCAGGCGCAGTGGAACGAGGATGGCGCACTCTGGGTCCCCCAGAAAACACAGGCGGCACCGCCAACTTCGGCTGCGATCGGAGAGGGCCTCCCTCCCAGCCCCCCACGGGACAGGAACCCCCTCTTTCCCATCATCCTACCTGGTAGTGTCGAGGAATTGTCGGGGCCTGCTGACGCCAACTTAAAAGCCAGACCTTGACGTTGCTCTAGTTGACCGATTCAGACCCACCCACCCCACCCCACCCAGGACAGCACCCCTTCAATAAGGTGACGAGAGATTCCAAAAAAAGCTGTGGGTACAGCGCTCTCCGGAACCCCAGTTTTGACCCAGGTCTAGGGCCCCCACCCCCGAAAAACCTCGAAATTATAAAGATGCCCACCAAAAACCGACCAGGATCCTGTTCATGCACACAACCAAGTATGGCGGCCAACAGCAAAGACAGTGTCCCGGGGTATCCCAGCTCCTCCGGGCTGAGGCTTAACGGAGGCGATAGAGGAAGAGGAGGAGGGGGTGCAGCCTCTAGTTTCGGGAGTGGGAGGTTTAGGGGGGGGTCCAACTGATCCTTTTCTCCGACCTCTCCCTTTCTCCCCCGTATCCGATCGGATCTTCCCCACCCGCGGTCCGACCGACCATGCGGCGTAACCCCCCACCCATCTCGGCCCCCGGCCCCCCCCAGACAGCAGGCACTGCTCGAGCAGGACGGCCTAGGGCTTCTAGTATTCACCCCAGAACCACAGCCACCCCAATTTGTGGCGCGATCACAATTCAGTGGTCCGGTTTGGTTTCCCGATTCCGAACTCATTGACGACGCACAGCCGATTCTGAGCTCTCGCGGGCCGTATTTCATTGCATCGCGGCGTCAGAGATCAGAGATATGCTGTTACCTGCTGAGGGGAATTAAGAGGGGAACTTTCAGCCACAGGCAGAGGTTTCTATAAGGACAACAAAAGAAATGCTCATTTTTAGAATTCATACTGCAGGTCATAGTGACCCCAGGCACTGTGTTTGCATATAAAATGATTTTAAAATATATCCGTCTCCAAGATCTTTTTTGGCTTTCGAAATTTGGTCACCCTGAAACCTTATTCAGTTATACGTGGACACTCTCCTCATGAAAACCCAGCTCCGTTCATTACTGAGCTAGGAGCAGGCAGCACCTGCTCTAGGACCATCGAGTCCTGTTCTGGGTTTGTTTGTTGGGGGGG